TTTCTGTAAATACTTCTAAAAATCTGTATTACACTTGTATAGTGCAACATGAAGCTATTTCGTACAACGCCATCAAATATTAGTGCAACATGAAACAATTTTAGTGTAACATTGCAAAATTTAAATATTACTGCAACATAAAGTCATTTTTAGTGCAACTTCGTAAATCTAATGGCTGAGATTCATTCTCATTTCTCACATTAGATGCATTTCTCACTTGAACCAAAATCAGTACAAGTATATAGGATATATAAAGTAAAACCAATCTCTTAGTATGTTATCTATTCTACTGGGTAACAACTAACAATGGTATTTTTGCTTTGACCAATCATCGTTGAATGTTGATATCAGATTTAATTAATTTTATCTTTTATATAATTATCAAGTAACACTCCAAATTTTAAAATATTAAGAGCATGTTTAGTAGCAATTGGAATGACTTGAATCGGCTGAACTTGCTGAAATTACCCTCATATTTTGATTGAAGCGGGTGAATTGGCTCAATTTGATGAATTATATAAAATTATACTTTAAGATATATTTTAACAATAAAATAAATAAAAAGATATATAAAAAATAGTTAAAATGACCGTCTACCGTAACTCCAGGCAATTCAGCCAGAAAAGTAACTCCAGAAAAGTATCTTATTACTTTTGAAATCAAAACTTACGATTTTGTTAAAAGCTAGTTGATAAGTTTTTTTGAATGAGTTAGATGATAAGTTGAAAATAAGGGTTATCAAAAGGGCAATAAATTTTATTATTTTGAATTTAGGATATCCAAAATAATATGTAGTATACACTATATTAAGGACACAAGTTTTGAGATGTGGGAATATTTTCCTTCATTGTTATTTAAATTTTTGTAAAGAATATTTTCCACTTTTGAATATCATGTATGTCACTGACACTTTTAGTACTAGACTTTGGAATTTTTCACTTTTAGTCTTTCGACAATTGTGCGAAAGGCGCTTTTAGTATCCTTCTTTGAATATTTCCATGTTTAGCCCTTCAACTTTCATAATATGACATTTTTTGTCCTTCAACTATTATAATAGTGACATCTTTAATTCTTCACTTATTAGCGAAAGAATTAATTATTGCAGGAGGGAGTTACAGAAGTGGGATTCTAAAAAGAAAAAAGGTATTTCGTGCCCAAATAGATTCTTGTGGTCTTCATAAAAAACTTCATTCTTGTGTTCATAAAAATCAGTAAGCATCTTGTTGTAGTTATTCCACAGAGTGCAACCAATGTGGTTACCCCTATAAACTTGTAACATAATATTAGAAATGTATAGAATAATGTTAGTGAGATCCGATTTTAGGATCTGGTACATATTCAATATCGTCAAATGTCAACTCTATAAGTCTCGCGGGTTTTCCATTGATAAGGTGCGTTTGGGGTGAAGTTTTGCCCACAAATTTACCCAATAACATCTGCAAGTAAAAAACTAATCTTAGTTGAAGAGGCAAACCAAAATGATAGAATTGTATTTAGACTTATAACAGAGTATTACCAATAAGTAATTTGTCATTGATAACCCTTAGGCTCTGGAGCATATCAAATTGGTGAAAGTTGTACACACAGTTTGGAAAAGGTTTCCGCAGGGATATCTTTCAGTTGTTTCTTTTTGAAAAACTGCAGAATATAAGAGTGTTATGTCTTATTGTATGTGTACTAGTTGTAGAGAACTAAGAAGTTTCAGATTGCATAGCATCCATTTTCTACCCACCGGGACTTTACAATGGCATAAAAGGCCTTTTGTGAACGCATGTATAGGGTCTCCCTTCAATGCAACATAAGTTATCAACTTGTTATCTTCATCATGAAGTAACATAGTTATACATGTAGTACTATATCGAAAACAGGTGTATCTAAACTACCTATTTTACTTCCATACTTTGTGATGCCGCTACACTTCTTATTGTTTATGTGTAAAATTATACTAATAGTAATTTTACACAGAGACCAGACGTTTATCAGACCAGACCACTTCAGACCAGACTTAAACATACCAGACCAGACCAGTTTAGACCAGACTTAAACATACCAGACTAGACCAGACCATCACATTACAGTCAAAGCAAAAACATTCCTTAATGTTAGTATTTAGTAATTGTATTTTTTGTATGTTGTAACAATACAAAACCACGAGGTTACTGGAAGAAGGTTTTATGTTTTGCTTTTAAACTTTTGTTGGATCTCCTATGCCATTTAATACATCATTCAATTGATCGAGTTATATTTCTCTTCTAGTAAAATACAGGAAACATACATTTTAAACGGGAAATATGAAATTTTTCTTTCTTTTTAAACGGACCGACATTTTCTTCCATTAAAATCCTTGGTATTCGCACCCATAACCCCGCATGAAAAAACTAAAATTCCCATCAATTAACAATTCTGGTTGCCTTCAACATATTCCCGATCGAGGAGCATTTTAGTCTACTCATACAGGTTGGGGTGGAAACATTAAGAATTTAAAAAAAAGAGGGGGCTTAAATTGATATCAAAGCATTAACATTCAGAAGGGAGTAAAAAGAGTAAAGAGCCACATACAACCGTCAGCCCGCGAACCAAACCTGGAGTTAATCACCTTCAAACTAGCAATATAACTCGTTGATCCATTAATGGGCAAACCTGAACCACAGACGATGGAAGCAGACCAAAACTCACTCAATCCTAATGCAAGAGTCTTACAATTGAAAGAAATAACAACAGAAAGAAACATAGTCTGATCAACAATAATCAAAATAAAATTATTCTTCGCCAATGCCATGAACATCTCCACCGACGCCTCCTTTGATCTTCTCGGCCACCCCACAAAGACCGTCGGACCTACATGAGGTCCGCCACCACTCCGTTTTTTTTGTCCGTATAGTGCCATGCCTTCCCCTGTAGCAGCTTCCCGTCTCCCTTCCTCCCAGGTCCTTCTTCGCTTTGGCTCCCCCGAGTTCTCTTCTGGACTAACTGAGTTCCCTTCCTTTATAGAGCTAGTTCCAGTGCCTGTGGTTTCCTTTCAATTATGTCTGCCAGTATCTTGTCCATCTAACATCCCCATCCCAGAACTGGAGGACCCTTCAACCAATCACTTTGTACCCCCTGTAGGGCTGGTCTTCACCCCGGTCCCCGCCCTAAGGTCCACTTCATAGTTTTTATCAAAAGTGATATTCTCTCCCTCATAAACCATCAGGCAAAACTTATCCGAATGCCCAATAATACCACAGACAAAACAGAAATTTGGGAGCTTCTCATATTTGAAATCCACTCATTGACTAATACCCACCTTTTTCAACATAGTACCTTTTTTCAGGGTCTCCTAACATCCATATGAACCCTAATTCTCAAATACGATTTCCAATTTTCATCATATTTTTTATCACCAAAGCTAATGAATTTTCCAATATGATTATCAATACGTCTAGCAGACCCCAAATTCAAAAAGCCATAAGCAGCATTGTGCACTGGCACCCAAAAATGAGCCTCATAAAGTTTGATTTGCAAAGGAATATCCTCTGCCTGAATCTCTTTTAGCAGCAATAAATTCCATTCAAATAACCATGGTCCTTCATCTAGGACAAACCTCATATCTAATATGTGATAAAAGGTAAAGATATACCTTTTTTCGCCGATTTCTTGGATCGAAACACCTTTGACCGGTCTCCACAACGAGGCCATCAATTCTTTGAAGAACTGAAATTTGATCTTACGATCTGTCAGAATCAGGCCTACCACTGGAAAATTTGTCGAGCTCTTGCTTGATTCCTCATCCTCTTCTTCCTTGTCGAAAAATTACCTCCTCCTTATCAGCCCCAATAGCCATTTGTTTATACTGATGAACTACGTCTTCCATTGAAATCTTCTGCCCTGCTATCGCTGCACCCCACGACCAGCAAAAAACGCCAAAGAAACAACAAGACCCTCGCTCGACTCCATCGTAGAACGGAAGCGGACTTCCGTTGATGAAGCTCGACAAGAAGAACCAGACGGTTGTCCTTCGAAAAGTCGAAGATGAAAAAAGGCCCTAGCAGCTACGGTGCCCTAGAGAGAGAGTTTTTTAAAACTCATTTGCTCTTCCTTTCACCCTAAGATTCTTAAAGAGTTAATATTTTAACAGAAATTGCCCTAAATAGGAGTAAAAACGTTTTAAAATTCCAAAATAGGAGTATCATGTTTTTTTATTCTCTGAATAGGAGTAATCTGCCAACAGAAATAACAACATCCAAACCTTAGTCCCAAAAGATATTGGGCGGCAAACATGAATCGATACATGATATCACCACCAAAAGGAAAAGAAAGAAAATAAAGATAAAAAAGATAAGCTATTATGAAAAGGATAATATATAAAGAGATTAATATACCTAAAAAAGATAAAATAAAAAGGATAAAAATAATGTTTATATATATAAGGATAATACGAGATCACTCCTCCACACAAATACTCACCCTCTATTTTGCTCTCTCCAAAGTCATACCCTCATCTAACCCAAGAAGAAGTATATCACTTCGGACTCCCCTAACTCACGTCTGTTTGAGCCTTCCTCTCCCTCTCTTCCCTGTCACTTCTCCACACATCTCAACTCGTCTGACAGGTGCATCAATCAATCTTCTACGCACATGACCAAACCATCGTAAGCGCGACTCCCGCATCTTGTCTTCAATAGGTGCTACTCCCACCCTTTGTATGATTGTCTCATTCCTCACGTGGTTCTTCCTAGTATGCCCACACATCCAACGCAACATGCGCATCTCCGTCACACTCATCTTTTGAATGCCAAGTTTGAAAAAAAAACATGTTTAAAGCCTTTTAATATCAAACTTGACAGAAATTTACTCCTATTTAGGAAATAAAAAACATGATACTCCTATTTTAGAATTTTCAAAACGTTTTTACTCCTATTTAGAGAATTCTCTCATATTTTAACATAAAAATAAATGTGTGTTTTTTATTTTTAGTCCGAAATAATTTTTCCTTTTCATTCCATTTATAACCCTCCCAGGCCGCCTCTGTCAGAACGTCCCTCTTCTCGTCAATCTCCCACCACCTTCCTCAAGCTGTATTCTGCCGCCCAGCTTCTCAATCAACCGTGAGTCCTTGCAGCATCAGGTTTGTCTCTTCCTCTCCTATCCCTCTTCTCCTCTATTCTTCTTCCCTCCTCCTTTCTCTCTGTAATATTGTTGATTTAGTTGAATGAGATAGATATGGATTGCATATGGACCTGCACTATAATATTTTTTTAATTTTTTTTTTTGTAGATTTACTTGCTGTAATATTGATTTAGTTGATTCACATATGATTTGCTTTGATATTGTTGATGTACGTGACTGGGATAATCTGTGTACCAATCTCACACACACACATATACAAACTGTTTGTTAAAATGATTGAGTAACTCTTTGTATAATTGCCCATTATCTATCTTTTTCCACCGGGCCTAGTGGGTTTTTTGAGTAGGACTTACAAGATGAAGGGAGTGTTTGCAATTGCTTCAACTTTAAAAAAGTGATTTTTTAAAGTGATTTTGGGAAAAGTGATTAATAGTAAAAGTTGGTAGTGTTTGAGAAAAAAGTGATTCTGGAAAAGTAAAAGTTGGTAGTGTTTGGTAAAATAAGTACTTTTTGTGTAATAGAAAAAATGAGAAGCAGTTTAAAGCACCCTTCTACCTGCTTCCAGCTTTTAGCTTTTAAGTGATTAATTTAAGCAGAAGTTGTCATTTGAAAACACTCTTTTCGACTTTTTTTAAGCCAAAAGCTGAAAAACGCTTTTTTTAAGCAAAACCCAAACACTCCTGAAATATGTTGTGTGTTACACATGAGTAGGGAAACTGTATACGGAATAGTTTTTAACCAAACCAATATGCGCATTATGTGCGTAAAAGCATCACAGGGGTCATAATCTAGTACTTCCTCCGTCCCGAAAACAACTTCTCAGTTGGACTTTCACACACTTTTAGAAAATAAATTTGACTTTACTGTAGAGTGCACTGTTTTGCACTGTTTAAACACTGTTTGGCACTGTTTAAACACTGTTTGGCACTGTTTAAACACTGTTTGGCACTGTTTATCACTTTTTTGATGTAGATAATTTGCCAAATAAGGAAAGTATTGAAGTGTGAAGTTAATTTTGGGACATCCATTTAAGGAAAGTGGGAAGTTGTTTTTGGGACGGAGGGAGTATTATAGACCTTCTAGTGCCTATATAGTACACCCAAATGCATCATGATATTTGTATTCATTGAAGAAAACACAAATGAACATTCTGTAAAGGGATTCTTTTGTAGAGAGTCAGTAAAAGGCCTAGAATACTAGATTATGATGTTTGAGGTAGTTTTTCCACTTTTGGAAGTACAATAGGGCGCAAGATTGTTTGGCAGCAATGCTAGACCCTAGAAGAACTGCAGACACATAACGATCATCCTCAATTCCTCACAGCTAATATTTTTTATTTCTGTCGCTAATATTTTTTGCATATCAATAGCATTTTTCTGCCTTGACTTATTGGAACCTGTTGAATGATGATTATGCTCCACATGATATCTTACTTGATGTATCACTATCAATCCTGCAAGGTAACATACAAAATACTAAATGCAAAGAAACTGAACACTAACTCTAATAAGAACAGATTACATAAGTCGGGTCTCACCAGTGAGTATATTTTTAATTTTTTATTGATTAATCGTTGTTGCATAAATACATCCTTTCTGTAAATTCAATGAATGAAAGCATTATAAAGACACCAAAAACACATTGAATGTCTGCTTTTTTGAAAAAGAGTTCTTACAGGCACATGATATACCTTTCCACCTTACCCAAACACAACATTAGAGTTAGATTTCATTTTAATTTGGCCGTACCTGCAATTGCTTGATTTTAATTTGTTTTTTCTTCTATTAATTGCAAAAATAAACGAACCTTTTATGGATTTAGGGAGGAATCAAAGGAATATACATGAGAGTGCTACCGGAGAATTGTAATCTTCTGCGAGATTAGGGAGCAACTTTGTTTTGAGTTGAAGTGCTCTGAGAATTATAATTTACTACGGAGTATTATTTTAATATACGCATACTAAATTCCATGTACTGTCTACACCAATTTGGGCCGGATATGTTGTGCATTGGAGGCTCTTTTGGTAGTTGAATATCTAGTCAATAGACTTCCTATTATGTGTACCAGAAAGCAATTTACTTATATGACACTTGGCACAGTTTATTGAGACGAGAGACTACTGCATTGGTGATGCTCTTATATTGTATCTTCTGCAATTACTTACGCGGATGTGAGATGAGTGGTTGGCATCTAAAAGTCTTCAAAGATGGAAGCTTTAACATTTATGCCAAACCACACGCTCTTCGCTTCAAGAGAAGATTTTCCCTGTGGTCTATGAAGAAAGACCCAGAGCTTGAATCTGCATTATGCAGAAACCACCGCTGGATTGTGAATAATCAGATAAAAAATATAATCTTGAGATATCCAAACCAGGTGGCCCCTGTTAAGTTCCTCCAGAAGAAGTTCAAGAGTCTTGATCTCCAAGGGAAGGCCATGAATTGGCTAAAGAAGTACCCCTGTTGCTTTGAGGTTTTTCTGGAGAAGGATGAGTACTACTGCCAGCTCACCAAAAGAATGATGTGTTTGGTCGATGAGGAAGATTCCATAAAAGATATGCAGGAACCTGTGGTTGCCGAGAGGCTAGCTAAGCTGTTGATGATGAGCCGTGACCAGAGGCTGAATGTTACGAAGCTTAATGAGTTAAAGAGAAACTTTGGGTTTCAGGATGATTATTTACTTAGAATCATACCCAAGTATGATAAACTTTTTAGAGTTGTCAATCACACAGGGAGGAGAAGTTCAATGGAGATTGAGCTCATATCTTGGGATCAAAACCTAGCAACCTCTGCAATCGAAAGGGTATCACAAATAAAGGGTCAAGTGCCACGATTCTCGTGCTCTTTGCCGGAAAGTTGGGTGAAATCAAGGGAAAGGTTTGAAGAATTCAACTCGACGCCTTACATTTCACCTTATTCAGAACATAAATGTTTGGCAGAAGGCTCATTAGAGATGGACAAGAGAACAGTGGGGCTGGTGCACGAGTTACTATCATTATCCTTGTGGAAGAAAGCATCAATTGTCAAGTTTGGTCATTTTAGAAGAGAGTTCAGCATGCCTGAGAAACTAAACATCCTGTTGCTCAAGCATCCTGGCATTTTCTATGTTTCTAACAGGTACCAGATTTATACGGTTCTTCTTAGAGAAGCTTACAACGGATCTGAACTCATTGAAAAGGATCCTCTTGTAGTTGTGAAGGAGAAATTTGGAGAGCTAATGCAAGAAGGGCTGCATGAGTACAACCGGCGACACCACTTGATGAATTTAGAGAAGAAGAGAAAGAAGGGAATGGTTGAAGCAAAAGAGGTCAGAAGGAGAAATGGAAATTGTGAGAGTTTGGAAGAGGGAGAACAAGTAGGCGGAGATCTAGGGGGAATATTCGACTCAGAAGAAAGGAAACGATTCTATAGAGCTCTCTTTGATGACAAAACTCCATAATCTGTTAGTTTTTTCTGGGCACATAGGGGAAATGTAGCTGACCCCAAACTCTTTTTGGGATAAGGCTTAGATGTTGTTGTTGGTGCATAGGGGCGATGCTCTTTATCAATGAATACTGTGATGCTCTATATCAAGTCCATGTTGCCAAAGACTAAATCCAGCTTATAAGAGTTCGGAGTTCTCAAGTTTTAATAGTAACTGTCTTTAGTTTATACATAAGGACGGGCATTGGCAGAAAATTAACCCCCCCCCCCCCCGTCCCACCCCTTAAAATTGTTTAGAATAGTGACTCACTATTCTAAACAAACCGAGACGTTTCAGGTTTTCACCCCTTTATAAACTGCTCCGATTCCAGTACCTTTATAATGAAGACATGACCAGCTACTTTTGGTCACCAATGCGCAAGCCGCAAAGTGCTTTGAAAAGTCTGCTGCAGAACGGGATCAAGACTGACGGTTTAACATGACAGGTACATACACTTGAGTATCGGTGGAGGTTTCATCCAAATGGAGGTTAGAAACATGTCAATGCAGAACACCACTGCAAATGCCCATGATTAGATTTGCTGACATTTATATTCTAAATAAATATTAGAGCAAAACTACATTTGCAATGTGTCATGTGTTCTGAAATATTCAAAAGGGATCTAGTTGGGAAAAAAAACATTTGTAGTTATCTATTTAATCTAAGCACTAGAGTAAAAATACATTTCACTACAATCGCATGGCATATTAATTGTGTACATGTGTCCGTGCATGTGTGTGTTAAGTGTGTTGGTGCAGGCCCTCGTCCACGGTCTATTCTTGTAGTCTACTCTCCATTAATTGCGAATTGCTTTCCTTTGATATCTGCCCCAAAAGGAATCTGTAACAGTGTGGTATGCGTGTTCGGTTCATTTTCAATTCACCTTCTTCTTACATCACTATTCACTAGCCCGTCCTGCCGAGTGGTGTACCCGGGCCAGTTCTGGTATGGTTCTTGACCGGCTAATTCCCAATTGATCCTTCACCACCGTTACTGTAGTCCAGGACCGGAATATACAGGTAATGTCTGGTTTTAATACCCGTGAAAGAATAAAATAAGCTGGAACAAAACAAGTCTGGTCTGGTCCCATTTGGAGGAACCAGAACTATACCAAGTTGGGCTGATTCTTGTCCGATCTGAAGTAATGGCTCTAGTCCAGGTGCTGACCAATACTGGGACCGGGTTCTCCCCTACTAGTTCCTCATAATCTGTCACTAGAAATTAATTAAAATTGAACTTGTTCAGACACTCAAAACTATTTATGGATCTCTTGATTGTAAAATATTGTAGTACAGTTGGGTAGATTGTTATTGACAACAATGACGAGGATATACTGATATACATATTATTAACAGGTTCTCACTTTCGCCTAGGTTCTCACTTTCGCCTAGGTTCTCACCTCCCCTCGACTTAAGAACCAGGCATGTCGAGATAAGTTATGAAGTTATCTTCTGTTATAGACAAACTAACCATATTCATACACAAAAAGAATAAGTTTACATAAGTTTGAGCAATCTCATGTGCTCTTCAAGTTCAGGATCCACTTTTGGACGTTTTGGTGCTCAGCCATGAGGATCCTCCACCATTTACTCCTGCAGTCCTGCGACATTCAGTTTGCAGAAAGAATAAAAACTAAAATCAACTACTGAACTACATGAATATGCACAAAATTAATAAAATACTTCGTATCATAATATGTATTACAAATTTACGAGTTTGCCTTTAAATAATTGAAGAGGGGTAAAATGAACCTCCACAAGGCTTTGCTTCTATAAAATGTAACGCTGCCTCTGCCAGCTCCTGGGGAGAGTGTCATTGTACCCACACAAAATTCATACAACAGCAAAAACTGTAAAGACATACTACGTATATGATACAAAGACCTCGCACATGAAAGCTTTTGGTGAAGTCTTAAAAAATAGAAGTATAAAAAATAAGTCATTCAGTTCTTCATTGTACTCTCAGCAATGCAGACACACAAAGATTATAGAAGAATAATTTGTATTGAGATTTAAAATTCACCCAAAAAGAACAAAGAGTTTCATTTAACAATAACCATAATCGAGAATGGTGATTTCTTTTAAATTATGTACGGAGTAATTAGTATCTAAAAATTGTGTTTTAGTGATGATAATGATGATGAGTGTTTTAAAGGTGTGTAAATGCATACCTGCGCTCCATATTGGCTGGAATAGAAGAAAAAGTGATGTTTAGACAACATGCGCTCTCAGCCTCTCAGGCCTTATTAAACACATTCCAAAAGTTTCCATCTCTACCAATGATTCTTGGAAGGTCACAAACAGTACTATGAACTTGAAAGGTAACACCCTCAAATAACAATCCAAAATAGATCCATCTAATACCAGCTAGAAGCCTCATATTCATTCAGTTAAACAGTACCATACCAATTCAAGCTACCATTCAACCTTCTTCACAAAACCTTAAAGGGAACAGTTGAAATCCCATAATCCCAAAATGAGACATTGTTTCAAAAGGCGACTTCCATATAAAGAGTTTTATTAAATATAACTGCTTTATTAAAAGATCTAAGAAAAGGGATGTCAACATGCGAAATTCTTTGGCTTCTTAACTGTTTTATATTAACACGCATGTACAGGCATTGCAAGTTGCATTTTTTTTAATACACAGCTTGGAACAATGTATATGATACTTTTGGAAGTTGCCTAGAATCCACACATTCATTCTAAAACTGTAAAACGTATGAACCTATGAGAATTAACTGCATGTGATACTTCGTATATTCTTTTATTTTACCACTAACACTTTGGATAGGTCCCAACTAGAGATTTCTGACTTCAAGTCTCAAATTTAACACGGCAAACAAAAAACGAGAAATATGTCTTATGTGGGTTGCCCTTTTTGTGTTCTTATAACCACTTTCTGTTGAGAACGAAAAATGACACACCTTTCAAATGAAAAGTGTAAAAGGTATGGGTAAACATAATACTCACAGTCTGTACAACAAAAAAACACTGGGAGGGCACAAGCATTCGGTGCTTCAGATTCCACTAAGGCTTGTCCTCTAACTCTACACATCACAGGTGGTATGGAGCCTTACAGGTTGTATGATCTGAAAAATGAATCCTTCCTATACATTTTCTTTTTAAGATAACATATTTATCGGTGACATAAGAACTATACATCCATATATACTCATGGTCTTAAACTACATTATATAAGAGGGTGTATGCATCAGTCATATGAACAGCCAAGAGTTCAAAGAATGGCGGCGCACCAACTGGTGCCTGCCCTTGCTTAAACATGGTGATATGTGATTATATACTGAAGGGGGCGGGGATGTGCTAGACCAGGGGGTGGACTACACACATGGGAAACAAAATATATGCTTAGGTTATGAATTTGCAAGTTACATGTTAATGAATTTGGCACTTATGGATAGAGATGGAAATTTTCTGGATGCATTTGATGACTCTTGGAAGCACAAGTTTGTATTTCCACACATTTCAAACATTAATTTATTAGGACAACCAACACCTTAAAATCTAATGTTAAGGGATAAAATTTTACTAGGCACATTTTTGTGATTTAGTATAACTTTGATACTGTGAATGGAACAGGAGCAAAAGACGAGTAACATGATCATGTTTGGGTGGATCGTTTTGGAATGTTTTTGTGAATTTACCCTAAATAGGACTAAAACATTTGTATATTCCAAAATAGGACTGTCATGTTTTTATTCCCAAAATAGGACTAATTACTGCCATGTTTTGTTAGTACCAGACTTTAAACATGACAGTATTTTCCAAACTTGGCAGTAATTACTCCTATTTTGGGAATAAAAACATGTCAGTCCTATTTTGGAATTTTCAAACTTATTTACTCCTATTTCGAGGCTTGGAGAAGTTTGGGAGAGAGATGCGTCGAGTTGTTAACAAGTTTCTTCAACATGATTTGGAGAAACAACAAGATGCCAATGAGTTGGAGGAAGAGTACCCCTTATTCAAGAATAAAGGTGATGTACAAGAATGTGCCAACTATCGAGGGATTAAGCTTATGAGTCACACCATGAAACTTTAGGAGAGAGTGATTGCGCAAAGACTTCGAAGAACTGTGAAGATTTCAGAGAATCAATTCGGTTTTATGCCTGGTCGCTCAACAACTGAGGCCATTCATCTTTTTCGGCAACTTATGGAGAAGTATAGAGACGCTCACAAGGATTTGCATTTGGTGTTCATTGACTTAGACAAGGCTTATGATAGAGCACCTCGAGAAGTTCTTTGGTGGGCCTTAACTAGAAAAGGCATATCACGCAAGTATATCAGCATCATCTTGGATATGTATGAGGGCTATACTACAAATATCCGTAGTAGTGTAGGGAGGACTGCGGAGTTCCCTATTACTATCAGAGTGCACCAAGGATCGAATCTGAGCCCTTTCTTATTTGTCATAGTCATGGATGAACTTACGAAGTCAATTCAAGACGAAATACCGTGGTGCATGATGTTTGCCGACGATATTGTATTGATTGATGAGACACAATCAGGTCTTAAAGCAAAGTTGGAAGTATGGCGACAAACATTGGAGAACGAGGGTTTCAGAATAAGTCGGAGCAAGACAGAGTACATGGAGTGCAAGTTTGGTGGAGGTAGAAGCAGTGGTAATAGCGGAATGACTCTGGATGGTAAAGAGATACCGGTCAGCGATATGTTCCGTTACTTGGGCTCCATAATTCAGAAGAACGGTGAGTTAAATGGAGATGTATCTCATAGAATCAGAACAAGGTGGATGAAGTGGAAGAGTGCGTCAGGATTTCTATGCGATAGAGGTATGCCGACTAGACTGAAGGGTAAATTTTATAGGACAACAATTAGGCTTGCATTACTATATGGCGTAGAGTGTTGGGCGGTGAAACAATGTCACATTCAAAAGATGAGTGTGGCAGAGATGCGCATGCTGCGTTGGATGTGTGGGCATACTAGGAAGGACACGTGAGGAATGAGATAATAAGACAAAGGGTGGGAGTAGCACCTATTGAAGACAAGATGCAGGAGTTGTGCCTACGGTGGTTTGGTCATGTGCGTAGAAGACCGGGTGATGCACCTGTCAGACGAGTTGAGATGTGTGGAGAAGAGGCAAGGAAGAGGGGAGAGGAAGGCCCAAACAGACGCGGGTTAGGGGAGTCCGAAGTGATATGCTTCTTCATGGGTTGGATGAGGGTATGGCTTTGGAGAGAGCAAAGTGGAGGGCGGGTATTCGTGTGGAGGAATGATCTCGTATTATCTTTTCCCTTCATTTTTTTTTTAATCTTTATATCCTTTTACGTAGTATATATAAACATTATTTTTATCTTTTTTATTTTATCATTTTTAGGTATATTCATCTCCTTTTATATTATCTTTTTTATAATAGCTTTTTTTTATCTTTATTTTCTTTGTTTTCTTTTTGGTTGTGAACTTGTGATACCATGTATCGATTCATGTTAGCCGACCTCAATATCTTTTGGGACTAAGGCTTGGATGTTGTTGTTGTTACACCTATTTCGGGAATTTTCCCGATGTTTTTTGGCATCGTTTTGGTGTTGCATATGGTTTCTTTTGGGTACATTGGCTTTCCATATAAGCTGGCAGAAACGTTATGATTTAAATAACAAGGCAGTAGTAGTAGCATATCATGTAGTAGTTCATATTATTTTTTTCTCTTTGACAATTGAATGTTGCAGGAGTACGTAGTGGAGGATCTTCATGACTGTTATTGTGCACCACCAAAATTGGATCTTGAACATGAAGAACGCTTGAGTGCACTCAAACTTCTGTAGGCATGCAAAGTTGAGTGATTTTCTCTTTGAGTATGTGATTAATTTGTCTGTAGTAGCTGATTAGTTATTTAAGTTACCTATTTTGACATGATTACTTCATAGAGGGTGAGGTTGAGAACCTGTTTATGTTATTTCATGGTTCTTGCTAGTGGACCTTTTCCTTTAATAGAATTGTAGATGATGGAGAATATTACCTTGTAAATAACAACGCCCATTTGCAATATATTGTTTTATATTGAAAAGATAGAAAGTCATTTTTTGTGGCAGCATCTCAATATTTGAAATTACAATTGATGTCTCGTGTTAACAGATTGTTATGGAGGTGGGGCTACAGATGTCAATTAGATGAATCACATTTCCTTCATTCATATGGTAGTGTAGAAATTCACCACGAATGTGTCCTCATGTTCAATGCATTAGTCTTGTGCTTGTTTGATGAATGTTCCTCACCAAACTTGTAAAGGATCATATACATGCTGACATGCGCTGTGAATGCGCTGCTCTTCATTCACGGTTCATCTCACACACGCATAAATGGCTCAAGCAAACACGGTTTAATCTTGTGAGAACTTCTCCTAGTGTACTGTAGAAGTTAGTAACTATTAGCAATTCTTGTTCCATTGTAGGAATTTGAAAAGCCCGTTAATCGCCAAATAATAGAAGAGTTAATCGCCTTTTTTCAATGGAGGCTGTTTTGGTAAGAATACAGTTGGGGCAGGGTCAGCCGCACAAGTGACCATTCATATGGTTAAATATAAAGGTTTTGGTGAAAATAGAAGCGGAGGTCCTGATAAACAACCACCACAAGGAGGTGGATACCCATTTGCATATCTTCCTCCTGTGCCGCCACCTCATGGTCAATTTTACCCTCCTTATTATCCTCCTCAACAATATGGAGGGTCCATAATACCCCCCCCCCCCCTCCACAGACTTATCAGCAGCACCCTCATCCTCCTTATCAAGCTACAATGCCACCTTCTCCACCACCCAGTGGCGGGCAAACACCACCACAGCAGCAGTCACAACCAGCTCCAGGCCAACACAGACCGGTTGCGCAGCAAGAACCTTTACAGCAATCTTGATCTGGACATTCTTGTTATGTTTGCGTGATGGAATCTTTAATAGAATATTCTATTACTCTTTTCAAAACATAATCATCATCTTTCTACATAGTACAATTATTATTTTCCCATTTAACTCATATTTGAGATGATTCTATAAAGATGCTTCAGGTTCTTCAAACTGTGGGGAGTGGCGTGCCGCCGTGAGCAATTAAGGAAACTAGTTTGGTCATTTGTGAACTACAATAGTGTGTGTTAACCAGATGAGGTGTCGCTTTTGAACCCTGCTCTTCCAAGTGCTCTTATTGATTACAAGTTCTCATTAAAGAAAAAAGATAAAGGCTTTGGTGCTCTTTACAAGGGGTTGTCTGCTAGGCTGCTTAGACAAGACACATATACAACTGACAGACTTGGATCATTCACAATGTTGACAAGGAAGGCTGTTGAAGAAAATGACAAGTCGTTGCCATTGTATCAGAAGATTCAGAAGGCTTTGTGTGGGCCGACAGTTGGAGCGATTGGAGCATGTGTTGGCAGTCCGGCTGATTTGGCACTCATCTGTATGCAGGCTGATGCCACCTTACCTGCTGCCCAATCAGCGTCACTACACAAATGCCTTCCTTGCCCTTTATCATATTGTTGCAGATGAAGGAGTTTTAGCTCTCTGGAAAGGTGTTGGCTCAACCGTGGTGGCGTTGTTAGAGCAATGGCACTTAACATGGGAATGCTCACCTCCTTTCCCTTTCAAGATACCCTTGGTATGGGCGAGGCTGCCACAGTGCTAGGGGCCAGTAGAGTTTCTAGGTTCTTTGCTGCAGCCTGCAGTTTGCCATTCGAATATGTGAAAACACAAATGCAAAGATGCAACCAGACCATCACGGAAAATACCCATTTACTGGTTCCTTTGATTGTGCCATGAAAACTTTGAAGTTTTACACAGGATTTCCTGTTTATTGTGTTAGGATTCCCTCATGTCACGATGACATGGATATTCCTAAATCAGATCCAAAAGATCGAGACAGATATTGGATTGTAGTTCTCAGTCCAACTCTTGACTGTCTCGTAATTGGTTAATGCAGGGATTTGAAGTTCTTGTGATTTTCTTATAATTTTTTTTAATTATTATTTTCCGGAATTTTCGAGGTGTGATTTTTTGTAATGTATCTACCGATGTTCTAAAAGGCGTTAGGCGCTAATCGGGCTCCAGCCCAGCGCCTAGCGCCTAGGCGGCTAGGCGGGCGCCTAATCGGGGACTAGTCGGAGACATAGAAATTGCATTTTTATCTTTATTTTTGCATAAATATGATAAGTAATATTGTATTTTTGTCTATGAAATACATATATATATATATACATTAAGAAATATGAATGATAGAATTATAACATTTAATCATATGCGGTTAATGATAACTAATCACTTAAATTCATTATATTATAAATATAAATAATGATAAATATAGAATTATAATGCTAAGGTCATGGATGGATTATCAGGGGGGCTGACGGAAGGTCTCGGTCACCGATGGGTTAGTGATCAGCAATACGCCAATACATCATAGCGCAGGGTTTCAATGGTCATTGAGCTCCGGTCACATATGGGCCGGGGTTTGGGAGGGCAGGTTTCGGTCATCGATGGCTCATCTTCACCATTTAGGCAATATGTTATTTATTGGAAAATTTCTGTAGTGGAAAATGTGTTGAATTGAAGCTTTAAACACACACCTTTATGGCTATCTATAATTCCATTTGCTGCTCTCACGTACTCTGCTGCACCTTTCTCCGGCCTTATCCCTCGCCGGCACTACTTCTATTATGGGTAATGGCATGCATATATGAAGAGGATTAGCAAGTATGAGTAATATAATTTGGGTTTACAAAAAGTTTGTGAAAGTTCCTTGCTAATAAGATTCATTAGTACATTGATGGGTCAAGTTTATTAACAATCACGAGTCATATTTGGCTTCAAATCTGTTTACTTCATTAACATACAAGTATGCATGTGTTACGGAGTATCTCTTTATAGTTAAGGAAATGCCCTTAATTAAATATTGGTTAGATTTGGATTTTATCTAAAATCATAGAATCACCTATTGTTTCAGGTTACAATTTTCCTGGAACCAATACTTGAAGTAATATAATTATATTAACCTTAATACATCCCTGAATTTAGATAATACTCTTCATTTAGGAAAGCAACGTAATTAGTGTATGTTCGTTCATTCATTTTTCGTGACAACCATTGTCACAAATATTATACGGAATATTGTGGAGTCCAAAACATAAAACTCCAACATATTTTTATAAATTATAAATATTTATATACATCAATTTATGCATAAAAAAATCTTAGGGCAACCAAACCCTCCTCCAACCAGGGGCGGAGCTAGGGGAGGGTCAACCTAATGTCAGAGCTTACCTCAAATTTAAAAAATATCTGAATTTTAAAGTAAAAAAATTATGTACTAGTATATTATTTTTTTTTTCAAAAATATTCTTTGTATTGGCTCAACTCCGATCCAATGCCCTGCCTCCAACCCCTTCCTATCTCCACTGTCACAACTCACAAGTAATCCTTAGCAAAGGATGTTACTTATTGATGCTATTTATCTTTTTTAGAAGTGATCCATAATTACAGTCTGATCGATAATTACCAAAAATGTGTCTACAAAGTTATAAAAATCCAGAACTCAATAGTGTAAGCTAACTTAGACTATAAACAAACCCCATGTTATGTAATGAGCCCAGTCATCACATAATAAAAGTGTATACAATGGTTTTGAATAACATGTGTAATCTAACTTTAGACTGATTTCCAAATCTTATTAGAGAGGGATAATACTTTATATTTTCAATAATCTTTTATTTTATGTTTAAGTTTATATCGCTAAGTTGATCCAAAAATCTTTAAACCTATATGTCCTATGAATAATAAAAATTCCGATAGTTTTTCCTTTATTTTACTGTTTTGACAAAAATAAGTTTTTATAGTTGGAAGTATGATCGAATCCAGTTTGATGTTTGTTTATATACCATGTATGTTTTAACATTTTAAAATACAAAATAGTTTTGGAAAGATGATCAAATAAGTCATTCTACTATTCTCAATTCATCACTTAAATCCTTACTATAAAAATTGACAATTTTGGCCATTTATTCAGTTTTTGACATGTAATAGTAGGTTTTAAATATTAAAAACTAAAAAATTGTTAAATTTAAAAAAATAAAGATAAAAATTGTGAAAATTTCAGAATGTAAAAGTAAATATTTTCAAAAAAATTACATTATGTCAATATTTGAAAGGTTTTTACATTTCGTATTTTATATTTTATACATTTTCACTTTTTTTTCTTCATTTTTTTTTATTTTTTTCAGGTTTTAATATTTTACATTTTTTACAGTTATGCTACTTTTATATTGTTATTATATTATTTTTCAAATTTATATGAATTTGAATAAGTTTTTCCAATACTCCAAATTCATTTTAAAAAAATTGACCTGCAATAGCATATCAAAATGAATTGATTGTATTTAAAAACTAAACGTACTTATACAATGTCTTTTAATAGAAGAGTTTAAGCGGTTTAGTAGAAGAGTCTATTTGATCCCTTTTCTAATAGTAAATGATGAAATAAATATCCCGTGCATCGCACGGGTACAAAACTAGTATACTACCCGTGCGATGCACGGGATATTGTTCCATTTTTTAAATAAACTTTTGAAATAGAATTTAAATTCAACTCTATAAATTACAAATCTGAAGAATTGAATCATCAATACTCCCTCCGTCCCGCAAAGAAGTTTCCGGTTTGACCTACACACATGTTAAGAAAATAAACTTACCAGGAGGTAAATTTTACTGTTTTGACATTGTTTCAACGCTGTTTGGCACTGTTTGACACTGTTTTGCAATGTTTGACACTGTTTTGATGTAGATAACTTGTCATTTAAAGAAAGAGGAACTTCTTTTTTAGACTACTAAAAAGGGAAAGCGGGAACTTCTTTGCGGGACGTAAGGAAATTTTATGTTTAAAAATTTGCAAATGTTTTTAATAGAAATTCGTACTACAGAATTTTGAAATGGAATAAAGCGTTTTGGAATTTCAAATCACAATTTGCATATCTAATTAAGTAGAGATAAAAATTCAATTCTATTGAGAAATACTCCTTTTTAAATATGATATTTTATTTGGATTTCAAGCAAAACATAGCATTTGATTGTATTGAAATCTATATACTCGTATTACTTAAAGAAGTTATATTCATTCTGATGCAAGAATACCCGTGTCATATTCAATGTTTCATCTAAAGATACAACACATTAAAATTCAGATGAGAAAAAATAAAGTAACTCCAATGCTGAGATGGGTTGTGATTCCACCTAAACAAATGCACTTACTAAATGTAATTGTCTACTCCATGCAAAATAGAATGGACTTGGTGCATCTGATGTGGCATTTCATTAAAAAATATATGGACCGTAGTCTAAGGGAAGGTCCATATATAGACCGAAGGTGCCACCTTCCAACCAAAGCAAGAGAGGAAATGTGGGCCTATTTTGTGGAGATCCTCTCATTTAGTTTACTCTTTGTTTTCTATTTTTTCTTGTCTTTTTACTTGTATTAATGTTCTGGAGAGGATGTTAAATAGACCTCTTTTTTAAAATAATGGACCCACTATTCTAAATAAACTTTTTCCATTCAATTGCCACATAAGCACCCATCCAACTTATTGGTTGGAGATGCTCTTACTCAACACACGATGCCTCATTGATTTGACTTCAACTATATACTATCGTACATTTTTATTTGGAAAATTCTTAAATAAGTTATTTCCTATTTAACCTTTGGTGATATTGGTTTTTGCTACATAAATGGATATACTAAAAGTATACTACACATTAAAAAACTACTCCGTATTAGTGTAACTAAAAATTATTATTATTATTATTATTATTATTATTAAAGTTGTCTTTAATTTAAGTATCGGTTGTAGATATTTACTATTACTATCAATCCGATGGATTATATATCTACTTTCTCACACCAATGTGAATATTTAATTGAATTGTCTGTATATGTTGAGTTATTAAAAATTTAAAATATATTATATTACTAAGATTATGACTAAAGAAAAATTATTTGAAAAATAGCTAAAATAATTATTTCAAAAAACTATTTGAGAAATTCAATCGATTCAATTAGGAAGCAACTTAAACTTAAATTTACTTATTTTAATTAGCACATGAAATTAAAACTTAATTGCTAATAAAAATTTATTAGATAATGGTGATAAGTCAAAAAATTAGAGATTACAAAAAAAGTCTTATTTTTCAGAAATCAACTTTAAGGAATCGAATTACATATTTACATACCTAGCATTACGGAGTAATACATAGGATCTACAATAGACTATTTAAATTTTAATGCCGATTAAAGAAAAAACAATAACCATGTACAATCTTTAATTCACATCATGCATATATGGTTGGCAACTTCTCAGAAATGGGTGGACTATCCTACCATAACTCAGAACCAACTCCAAACACAACCCCGGCTAAATTTACGACCATAGGCTCATAGATTTCAACTCCGGCTACCATTCTATCGGAACTATATCTTCGCCTTTCACCTCCGGAATTACACTTTGACCACAGTACGTCCGGGCATATCAATATAGATAATCAAAACAGTTGACAAATTTTTACTCCATACATCATCATAAAAACATAGTAATCCTGTCCCAATCAAATTTGCCAAGTTGATGTTGGGTGTGAAAATAAAATAGTGAAAATTTGTGTTGTTGATGTTTGTGCCGAGTAAAGAGAAATGAATAAAGTCACAAATACACTACTTTAAAAGAAAAGTGATTAGATTTTTTGAAATAAATAGAAAAACAAAGTTGACAAAGTCTATCGGAATAGATAAATAGTAGTACGTATTTATTATCAAATACACATTCAAGTCTTCTTATTTAGCCTTCATTATTTTATGGGTTGTACTTGGCCACTCTTAACCTTAAATTCCTTGCTTGAGCAGAGACATCGTCTCTCAAAACTTGAAGCTTTTTTTTTACACCCTCAAAAATTGAAGCTTAGGAGGTATTTAATTATGTACATATCAATACTTATCAAATACGAATCTAGTATTTTGAAAGCAAAAATAATATATAGCTACCATTTCTATACAGGCAATCACGAATCTCCCTGGAGTCCCTGCTACGTGGTAATTAAGGAGTAGAAAACTCTGGAGAACAATCAT